GATTCATAGAGCCCTAAATCTTTTTCACAATTCCTTAGGTTTCTCCACTGCCCCCATTAGTCACCCATCCCATAATTGATATGGGATGAGCATGCTTAAGTGTAGAGTTTATTAATGAAATTCTAACCATTATACCAAAAGGCATATCTATGTTTCAGAGTTTAATTTCTTTTACTTAAGGGATTTCACAATCTCCTTTACTTAAGTAACTGACATCCTTGTTAGCATCTTTATCCCAAAATCATCCACCAGGCATAAAGGAATATAAAGGTGGAATCTATAAGTTTAAGTTGGAGCTCATGTCATGTAGCACTTTTTCCCATGGCGTAATTTGTCATTTATCTCTTTACGCTTGACTGTGTGATCAGTGATGTATATTCTCTAAATAGCATCAAAATAAAGAGTATCATTAGAAAACATATTGTGGTATTGAGATTGGAAGGTTTAGAGTGGTATTGAGATTGGAAGGTTTAGAGTGGTATTAAGATTGAAAGGTTTAATCTATCCTTTATATCTTTACATTTGAATGGGCGATTGGTGATGCATATGCTCTAAATAACATCAATATAAAAGAGTATCATTGGGAACATATTATATTCATATTCCATCAATCTAAAATTATTTGTTCAATTAGTATTTCATTTAATTATTTTTTTATTTTAAATTAAGTGATTGAATCTCCACCAAAAAAATTTTTATTGAATATGATAATTATTATAATTAAAGTTGATAGTACTAGTATTTGCATGTAATATTCTTTCTCATGGGATTAATATTATACTTGTTGCATCCTGGAGTATTCACGGCGGTAGAGAAATATATAGTTTAATGTCTTAACATTGTACGAATATCCAGCGCACAATCCGATAAGTGAGAGGGTATAACATTCATAAGAGACACCAGAGTGTTTACGTGGAAACCCCAGAAAAGGGGGAAAACCCATGGGGCCTGGCCCAGTTTGAATGAATCCACTAGTATTTGTAGTTGATTACAAATGAGGCCCTTCTTAGAGAGAAGGCCTTGGTTTGATGTTACAAATGTATGTCATACATAGCGCATTACATGGTGGGAGTTACAATAATCAACATAGATGTGTTTGTTTGGTCGGCATAGCCATAGTCGATAGAATAGAGGACGAAAAGATCGTTGTCTGGTGATGGAGGTTAGAAGGATCATAGTTGGCAGGAGGTAGGGATCTGAAAGATTGTAGTTGGTAGGAGATCAGGATCAGAAAGACCATTGCTTGTTGATGGAGGTCGAAAGGACCATAGTAGGCGATAGTGGTAGGAAGGACCGTAGTCGGCAGGAAACTGGGGTCTGAAAGACCATTGTCTGTTGATGGAGGTCGGAAAGACCATAGTAGGCGATGGAGGTCGGACGGAGGTCGGAAGGACTATGTCAGGTAGAATCCAGCAATGGATAAAAATCCAGCATCAGATATATATCTGGCAAAAATTTGACATCAGGTAGAAGTTTGGTGTCGGGTAAAAACTTGGCGACGAGTGGAGGTCCGACGTCGGGTAGAAGTCCAATATCAGTTGGCGGCCAAGGAGAACTATGGTGTTAGATGGTATTTGGGCAGAACTCCAACATCACTTGGAGTTCAGGTGAAACCCCGATGTCACTTGGAGGTCGGGTAGAATTCCAGAGATATTTGAAAGTCAGGCAGAATTCTGACGGCGGTGGTCGAGGAGGAGTTCTTCCCTCCTAATCTTATTGTCTTCTCTTCTCCTCTTGCTCCCCCACCCCTCTCAAGAGAAATGAGGGGTCTATTTATAGATTTTATGGAGTGGCATGGCCCGTAAATAGATGATAGATTAGGGGCAAATATGGAGTGGTTCAGATGAACGGTCGATATTGAATCCTTAAATCATGGATCATTCATCAGGCATTTGAAGGTCTTAATGACTTTGGAATTCAGCGATCTTGGGCTCGTTGGATTCGTCTCGTCAAGCCGCTCGATTCGATTATAAGCTCGTTAAGTTCAGAGACTGTTTGGTAACTCAATTTGTGGTACGAACTTTATAACAGTGCTTTCAGTCATTGGTTTGAACTTATTTGGGCTCGGATTGAGTTGAATTTGGTGTCCTTGGGTTTGTATTTTCGAGACGCTCAGTTTGACTGTAAGTTTGCTAAAATCGGAGTTCATATGATCCTAGATTTAATTTTTGAAGTTTCCAACTAGATTTTTGCCTCGAGATTCATGCCCGATTAAGATAATTTTATGATGACATATCACTACTGTATCATTATATTATTTGATTTGACATATATACTTGCATATATTAAGTGAATTTTTTATAATTTTTATATCAAAAAAATCTAAGCATTATTTAGGGATTGATAGAGCCATAAATTATTTTCATAATTCTTTAGGTTACTCCACCATCTCCATCAGGCACCCATCCCAAAATTGATATGGGATGAGCACGCTTAACTTCGAATTTTTTAATAAAATTTCAACTATTACACCAAAAGGTTACTCAATGTTTAGGAGTTTAGCTTCTTTTACTTAAAGGGCTTCACAATCTCCCTCACTTAAATAACTGACGTCCTTGTTAACATCTTTATTTCTAAATCATTCACGAGGCAGATAAGATTCTAGAGGTGACTCCTATAAGTTCAAGTTGTGACTCCTCTTATGTATCACTTTGTCCCCAAATAAGATTTAAGAGGTGGCTCCCATGACATAACACTTTATTTTGTATGACACTTAGTTCACATGTTCTGTCTGGTGTATTACTATGATACCATTTACAAAAGTTCAATTGCAATCTCTAATTCATATTAATAAAATTATTTTAGCTAGAGCATACCCCATGATTTTTTCTCTACCCATATTTTTCATGTAATAGCTATCATATCTTTTATGGGCTACTCTCTACTTATTTTTGCAATATGTATGCAAGATATTTATACAATTATGATATGATAAATTGTCTATACCATCATAAATATTCTAACATGCAATACTTTTAGTGTGATAAAGTTTATGATCAAACACTTTGCACAAATTAGATTATTTGTTTGATTTGCTTAATTGGATTAGGCAAGCCTTCAAACTAAGGCTTTGTTTGTGATGACTTTCTTACTGCTTCTTAAAGCAATTTTTTTAGAAAAAAAAATATTAATTTTGTACGAAATAGTTGCTATAAGAAGTAGTAAGAAAGTCGTCAAAATGAAGCCAAAATTAAATTTTATTTAAAAATAATTAATTAAATTTCCTATTACAATTAAATAGACCATAATCCTTATTTTTTCACATATAATATATTTTGGATAATTTTTTATTATTTTATTTTTCAAATCGCAGCCACAATTTGTATTTGACTATCATTTTTCATTGCTATCAAGAAATTTCTAGGCTATGAAGCTTATTTTTTAAAAAAATTACTTTCCTCGTAACATCTTTATATCTAATTTTACAAAAAACTACAATGGTCATAAATATATTCTAAATGAGGATAAATAATCCAGTCTGTGTGTGCATAAAAATTTGATACACATTGTATACAAATATATACACAGTGTGTACACTCACATGTTCGGGCGGCTCTTCCCGTCCAAACTCCATGCAGAATAATTTTTCCTAAATGAGAATGTTAATGAATGATCTTGCATGAGAGCCTTGTTGGATCTGAAAAGAAAAGAAAAAAAACTCAGCTCAGATTGATCTGATTAAAATTTAGGTTTGGTCGGATTCGAGTTAATCTAGAAACTCAAAATTGGTTCAATTATTATTGAAGTTCAAGCTATAAGGGTCATGCTTGGATTAAATTATTCATATTCAGATAAAACGGATCGTGTTGATCCAATATGTACATATTTCATATAATAAATTAGTTTAGATCAAATATTTTGACCTATATAAATATCAAGGGCGGAACCAACTTTATTTTTAATGGTGGGCAAAGCGGGTGCCAACCCTACAGAGGAGTGCAGATGACATGAGCTTTTAGTGAGTCGCAGGAGAGGCAAAGTCCAAGCAATAGTAGGATAAGCATGAACGAAATAAGAGAAATAGTGCACATTAGAAACAACCAGTGGTTGGGCTACTCTCCCGGCCAACCCAATTGATAGATCGAGACTGGATGGGGGGCAAAACTCTTTAAGATGGGGAAAAAATATGTAGAGACAAAATTTCGAAATTACCTTCCCGTGTAAGCAAAACTCAATTTTGAGAATTGTCAATTGACAAACCTCAATTCAATATGATTCCACCAAATATACAATAAACACAACTACCTCAAATCAATCATATCTGAGTCGGGATTGAACTGACCCTATCGTCAACTATAATCGACATCCATATAATTTTGTAAGCAATGAAAAATTAAAGGGGGATTTACATACATACAACTTTATTTCATGCTATTTACATATCTAATACCCAAAATATTAATATTACATATATATCACTCATATAACAAATATGAGGGTATGTAATTAAATATTAAAGTTTATAGGATGGTATGAGCTGTATGAATGAAATATATTAGTGATATATTTGAAATTAAAGCTGTATATATTTAATAGGTATATAGTATTAATGTTTTGAATATTTTGAAATAAAGTGGTAAAACCTATAATTAGATGGGTTGATTTCAGTCATTTTAGATCAAAATATATATATATATATATATATATATATAATATGGAAGCATGCATCTTAAATAATTAAATTATTTAATTGCTAGTGGAGAAAAAATTTATTATTTAAGGGGCTAAGAATTTCTGTTTGTAAGTTCATAATTGAATGCAAGAATTTATTAAGCTGTGATAAATTATGGAATTTTAAATTTAAGTAGATAACAAAGCGGTAGAAGGATATGATCCCGCAGTGGGCTTTTTCCGAATTTTAAAGTTTTTTCAGGGTTATAAAGGTAATTAGATAAATTTGTTTTGTTTTTATTCAGTTAATTCCATTTTTTCACTGTCAGGGACGCTGCGGCCTTCGGCTGGCAAGCTATGGAGTAGTTGTATATATAGCGAGGAGGGTAGCACGAAACCCTCAGAACCCTTGCCTTTTCTCTCTGTTTCTGGTGATTTTCTCGTGTGTTGAGGTGATCCGCCGGCGCCCGGCAGCGTTGTGGCCGTTGTTATTGGAGAGGCGGGATCTGAGAATGGGAGAGGCTATTGTGTCTGATCTCCTGACGGAGATCTTGATCCCGGTGGCGGCTGTCATCGGGATCGCCTTTGCCCTCTTCCAGTGGGTGCTCGTCGCCAAGGTTAAGCTCACTCCGGAGCGGCAAACGGCGCCGCCGGCGAACAATAAGAACGGGAGCGGGGACTACCTTATTGAGGAGGAGGAGGAGGGCTTTAATGAGCCTAACGTCTTTGTCAAGTGCGCCGAAATCCAGAAAGCCATCTCTGAAGGTTGTGGATTTACTATGCAGATCGATATTTTATTTGAATTTCTAGTTCTGCTTCGTTTGTTGCTTCCTTTTTTTAATGACGTATGCTCTGTTTTGCGGGAATGATTTGTGGTATGAGATCTTGTTGTATGAGAGAGGAATTTGGATTTTTTTTCCTCGGTGAAACCAATTTACTAATTTGGTTTTCCTACAGAAAGGAGTTCAGTGGCTATGGAGATTTTTTTGAACATTTCTTGATTTTTAATGCCTTCTTCGAATTTTAATGATTTTATTGGTATTATTAGTAAGAAAAATTAAAAATTTAATATGTATCGAAATATTACAGATATCCTACTTTTTTTAACCTGTAAACTCTCGTCTCTGTGAGTCTACTGCATAGGCTTATCTCTTCTGTTCTTGCTCAACGTCGTTGTACTATCCTGTCTAATCTTCTGCTATAACTAATCCTAAACATGTGGGAGTGCACTTGTCATCTTCACTCTTTGCATTTTTTTTTTTTGTTTTGAGAAAGTTTATGGTCCACATAATTATTGTTTGTACATTTAATTGTATAAACTGTCATGCTTTTCTGTGCACAGAGAGGGAAAGAAGAATTATGGATTTTGAATTCCTAGAATATGTTGAGAGATTTGTTTAGAATCTAAAGTTCTGGACTTTTAAGTTTGTGCTCTGAACATTCGTATAGTTTCGTATATATGTATATATGTTTTGAGATACCGTGTTTTGGATTCAAGCCTTTCTTCTGCATATTTCAAATCAAGTAGTTCAACTTGTAATGGCACGAAGTGGAAGGCTCATACATAAAAGTGAAGTATCGTTCTTGTTACTGTTTAGTTACTTCATTTTCATTTCCCCTTAAGGTCTCATAAGGGTGAATCGACATCACTTGATGATTATATACTCCAGGAAGTTCATTTCAATAGATTGTTATCATTTTCTAGCAGTGAGTTGTTTGGCAAGAAATTTTTTTTTTTTTTTACTTTTTTTGTTCATGTTAAGGTGTTTATACTTCTCATCCAATGCCTTTGTATGCATTATACAAAACTGTTCTCGTGTTAACAGGAGCTACATCCTTCCTGTTTACTGAATATCAGTATGTGGGGATCTTTATGGTGGCCTTTGCTATTTTGATCTTTCTATTCCTTGGCTCTGTGGAAGGATTTAGCACAAAGGAGCAACCCTGCACATACGTCAAGGATAGAACTTGCAAACCGGCCCTTTTTAATGCTATTTTCAGCACATTAGCCTTCTTGCTGGGTGCAATTACCTCTGTGGTTTCTGGCTTTCTTGGGATGAAAATCGCAACCTTTGCAAATGCTCGGACAACTCTCGAAGCAAGGAAAGGTGTTGGGAAAGCTTTCATCACTGCATTCAGATCTGGTGCCGTGATGGGCTTCTTACTGGCTGCAAATGGACTTTTTGTATTATATATTTCTATTAATCTGTTCAAATTGTACTATGGTGATGACTGGGAAGGTCTTTTTGAGGCAATCACTGGATATGGACTTGGTGGATCTTCAATGGCTCTCTTTGGCAGAGTCGGAGGTGGTATTTACACAAAAGCTGCGGATGTTGGTGCTGATCTTGTCGGTAAAGTTGAGAGGAACATTCCAGAAGATGACCCTAGGAACCCAGCTGTGAGTTTCATTAACACCTATATTCTACTTGGTTCACATCACTTGTCCTTGCCCATAAAGTATGGATTTGCCATTATTTGATGTTGTGATGCAGGTAATTGCTGATAATGTTGGAGATAACGTTGGTGATATTGCTGGAATGGGTTCAGACCTTTTTGGTTCTTATGCTGAGTCTTCCTGCGCTGCACTTGTTGTTGCTTCTATTTCTTCCTTTGGAACAAATCATAACTTAACTGGGATGTTCTACCCTCTGCTGATTAGTTCCATGGGAATTATTATCTGTTTGATCACCACTCTTTTTGCAACGGACTTCTTTGAGATCAAAGCAGTTAAAGAAATTGAGCCTGCACTTAAGAGACAACTAATAATCTCCACTGCTCTGATGACCGTTGGGATTGCAATTGTTAGTTGGCTGGCTCTTCCATCTTCATTCACAATATTTAACTTTGGTGTCCAGAAGGAAGTGAAAAACTGGTAATAATATGATTGTTAATAGTTCTGATTTTCGATTTTCTGGCTTGACAAGGCAATTCATGTACTCTCTTCTGAACTTGCAGGGAGTTGTTCTTTTGTGTTGCAATTGGACTATGGGCTGGTCTTGTGATTGGCTTTGTTACTGAATACTACACCAGCAATGCATACAGGTAACAAATTTTTGAACTTAATAAGATTTGGTGTAGAGCAATCACTTTCATTGCGCTAACACTCTTTTGTTTTTCCAGTCCTGTGCAAGATGTTGCTGATTCCTGCAGAACTGGGGCTGCCACAAATGTTATTTTCGGACTAGCTTTGGGATACAAATCAGTTATAATTCCAATTTTCGCCATTGCCATCAGTATCTTTGTCAGTTTCAGCCTTGCTGCCATGTATGGTATTGCAGTTGCTGCTCTTGGCATGCTGAGCACCATCGCCACAGGCTTGGCTATTGATGCCTATGGCCCCATCAGTGACAATGCTGGAGGCATTGCTGAGATGGCTGGTATGAGCCACAGAATTCGGGAAAGAACCGATGCTCTAGATGCGGCAGGCAACACCACTGCTGCCATTGGAAAGGTATATTGAGCTGGTAGCTAACCTCTGTTTAATTTTATTTCATTTGTCAAATGTAATTAATTGTTTTTAGGGTGTTTGTTACTTTTGTTTGTATGCTATCAAATCCTTGGGTTTGTAGAAACTTAAAAAACCAGATTTATTTCTTTAACTCAATTCATTAAAGAAATTGAAGTATGAATGACATTTTTACTGTATTTTTTAATTAGGTTGCCTTACAACCATTAACATATTACCAGTTGTTTTGTTCCTTTTCACGTCCGCATGATGCTTACACGTCATAAAGTTGTTGACTGAAGATATACTTCTTGTTTGGGACGGTTTTTTTACTGCTTCTTAAAACAGTTTTTTAGTACAAAATTTTTAATTTTTGTAGGAGAGAGCACAACTTTAAGAAGCAATAAGAAAGCCGTCCCAAACAAAACCTTAACCTCACATATTCGGTTCTTTGTTTCATTCATCTTGTTTGTTTCTTTGCTATAGACTCCTGGATGAATTTCCAAATGATTGGTGGTGTTTGTTGAATTTCCAGGGATTTGCCATTGGTTCTGCAGCTTTGGTGTCCCTTGCTCTTTTTGGTGCCTTTGTCAGCCGCGCAGCCATTGCTGCAGTTGATGTTCTGACTCCAAAAGTCTTTATTGGTTTGATTGTCGGTGCTATGCTTCCTTACTGGTTTTCTGCCATGACCATGAAGAGTGTTGGCAGTGCAGCTCTTAAGATGGTCGAGGAAGTCCGAAGGCAGTTTAACACCATTCCTGGTTTAATGGAGGGAACTGCCAAACCTGACTATGCAACCTGTGTGAAGATTTCAACAGATGCCTCTATCAAGGAGATGATCCCTCCTGGTGCTCTGGTCATGCTCACACCCCTCATTGTCGGCACCTTCTTTGGTGTGGAAACCCTGGCCGGAGTTCTTGCTGGTTCCCTTGTCTCTGGTGTCCAGGTAAAGCTTTGAACACTCATCATTAATTATTGTTGCAGTCTATGTGGGTCTCCGAAAGGATTCCGTTCGCAGGAAATAGAATGCAAAGGGTACGACCGCACTATCCCTTAGGATAAAATAATCGTAGGCCTTTACACTCTATGCAAGCAATGATTTGACCAACATTTGGTTTAAATCAAACTCGAATTTGAGTCAGATTAAGTCAAATGCGGACATGGATCGACCCGACTTAGCTAATACGACGAAATTATAGTCATGTTGGCTCCAAACCAAATCAGAGTCAGCGCGGTCAACATTTGTTGATCAAAATTGATTGAGTGCAGTTGAGTAAAATTCGACTCAATCCAAATCAAATTAAAATCGAATTTTAATTGACGTCAGTTTGATTCGAATTTAACTCGTTGTGACTAAACTGAATTAATCAAAGCACGGTCGAGAGCAAACTAACAAAATCGAGGTCAACAGTCTCAAGATCAAGTTTTGATGAATCTTTCTAATTCACTCTGCAGATTGCGATCTCTGCATCAAACACAGGTGGTGCTTGGGACAATGCCAAGAAATACATCGAGGTGCCGCCCCGCCCAAGTCTTGATTCTTTGTTAAAACTTCGGTTTTGTACTATTTCCATGAAATAAACAAGTAGTTCTGATTCTCAATTGCAGGCTGGGGCTTCAGAACATGCTAGGAGCCTTGGCCCCAAGGGGTCTGATCCTCACAAGGCAGCTGTAATTGGTGACACCATTGGAGACCCTCTCAAGGACACATCTGGGCCATCTCTCAATATCCTCATCAAGCTAATGGCAGTGGAGTCCCTCGTCTTTGCACCCTTCTTTGCCACTCATGGCGGTCTCCTCTTCAAGCTCTTCTGAGTGTTTCATTTTATATTCACCTCCATTGATGATGTCCGCACCACCTTTGTCTTTCCTGTCTACTTCAGCTGTTATGCTTCATGCAAAATTTTCCCATTAAGTAGGTAGACGATGATGACAAAATGCACTATTACTATTTAGTATCCGTCATAATCACATTCTTGAAAGAGTTGTACTTCTTTTCACACATAAGTTTACTTCGGAGTCTGAAAAGTTGTTCTGTTTTGTTTGGTCCATTAGTTTCTTTTCCTCAAGCAGGTCTCCATTGCGTGCTCAAATTTGAATATTTGCTGCTCTACCTTTGTTTCTTGATGTGCTATGTTGCATGTGGGTGATTTTTTTTTAAGAGGATTCTAACCTCAAACCTCCCCTTTGGAGATGGGGGTAATTATTACGTCCGGACAAAAAATTGGAAATCCGAACGTATGCCGAGCAATACCGAGTGCTCAATACTGAGTTTCAGGTGATGTGACGCGTGATTATTGGTCTCTAGACGCGTCAGATGATCTGACGTAATAATTGCTCTTGGAGATGAAGGCCAATACTGGACTGCATGCTCTGTGGTAAGTGGGTGATTAGCAGCTTTTTAGTAATTATTTCTACTAATTATTTGTTTTTGATGTGGTAGTTGCAATGCAATCTGAGCATAGGACTCGCATAGATGGTTTTAAAATAAAAAACTTATAATTTGAGTTATGAATATAAAAGATATATTATATATTGAAGAAAAAAATATATAATTGATTTGGAATAAGGGTTAACCAGACCCAACCCGCAAACTCGGGATGCGCTTGCGAACTGAGGTCGTCAGACGTGCTTGTGAATTGAGATTGTTCGATGGCTTGATGCCTTGAGCACGACGGCGGTGAGTTCAGTAGTTACTGATCGGTAAGGCGGAGTTCGGAGAGCTCGTAGCTTGTAATGGTTGCCTGCCGGTGCGATGGAGCGGACGTCTTGCCGGACACTGGACAGTCGGAGCGACGGACGCGGCAAACCGCTGGACGCCTGACGCTGGATGGCGACATCACAAAGTGATGCGATGGAGACATGGAGTGGACACTTGACACGACAGACTGCAGACGGCGATGGGACATGCCGACAAATGGGTGAGGCGGGAAATTGAATTTCACGGGTCAAATCGGGTCGACCCACGGGTCAACTCAAACTCGACCTGTTTTTCAAACGAGTCATAAATCTAAACTCGAACCCAACCTATTTCACAAACAGGTTGACCCAAACCCGGATTTTTTCGGGTCGAGTCCGGGTCAGATTTCGAGTCGTGTGAAAAATTGACACATCTATCCATAATCAAGTTTGATCACATTCATAGATGTTTAAAATGCATGTCCACAAATAGAGTGCATCACAAAGTACTCCGAAAAATGGATAGAGCAAAGCATCATGATTAGATTTAGGCCTCCTTTGGGGTGCCTTTCTTATTACTTTTTAAAATATTTTTTTAATATCAAAAATTTAGTTTTTGTGTTAAAAAGTTGCTTTAAGAAAGTTGTCACAAACGAAGCCTTACAGTATCTTAATATTTTTTAAAGCGGCATCTAGCATTAATTTTTTTTTAACTAGAATTTTTTTACTAGAAAATTATTTTAGAAAGGTCGTCTAAATTGTTTTAGAAAGCCAAAAAGAAAGTCGTCCTAAATGAAACCTTCCGTGCATAGGAATGCAAAAATGAGAAATTATTTAAATATCAATATCGAAATTTAAGCTTCGTTTGGGACGGCTTTTTTACTGTTTCTTAAAGCATATTTTTAGCACAAAAATTTTATAGAAAGTTGCTTTACGAGGCAATAAAAAAGTCGTCTCAAACGAAACCTTAGTCGCCAAATTGATATTTAATTTGAAAGATTACTATGTGGTCAACGTGTGGCAATCATCACAATCTCTAAGAAAAGTTCCTATGGACAATCAATCATAATAAATCCTTACACATGATTTCAAAAAGCTAGAACATTTTGACTACCTTAATCCTTCATTGATCGTACTCCAATGTCAAACTCGGCTCCCTTCTAATGAGAGGATGGTTAGTTTTCTAACATGTAACAGATCGGTAGAAATATAGTTGTAGCGGACTAGAATATACGCGGCGATAGAGTTAGAAAATTTCCGTCTCAGCGTTATACGGATATCTAGCATACAAACATGAGAGAAATAAAGACACCCGGACTTTTACGTGGAAAACCCTAGAAAGGGAAAAAACCATGGGGCGCCCAGTTGAAAAAGTTTCACTAGTATTTGCTTGAAATACAAGAGGCTGGCTCGTCCTTAGAATTTAGGATGATCAAATTACAATGATTTACTTCCAAATTGAAGTCAAGTTACACACAAGTTGTATTCAAGTTGAATTCAGAGTCACTTAGAATTCCGGCGTCTCTTGGAAATCGGGCGGAGTTTCGGCGTCACTTAAATGTCAAGCAGAATTCTAGCGCTGCTTGGGCATAATTCCGATGTCGCTTCGGCAAAATTCCTGCATTATTGGGGCGTCGGGCAGAACTCCGACGTGACTTTAAAGTCAGGCAGAACTCCGGCGGTGGTCGAGGAGTTTCTTCCCTCATATCATTATCTTCTCTTCTTCTTTCTTGGGTTTCCTCCCAAGAGAAATGAGGGGATATTTATATATTTTTTTAGGATGGCATTACCCGTAAATAGCAAGAGGATCAAGAGCAAATGTGGATTAGTTCAAATGGACGGCTGATATTGAATCCCTTGATCGTTGACCGTTCTTCAAACATTTGAAGGTCTTAATGATATCGAAATTTGGTGATCTTGGGCTCGTTGGATTTGTCTCGTCAAGCAGCTCGATTCGATTATAAGCATGTCATATTTGGAAAGTGTTTGGTAATTTAAATTATGGATTGAACCTTCCGAATGTGTTTCGGGTCTTCGATTCAAACCCATTTGGGCTTGGATTGAGTTGAATTTGGTGTCTTTGGGTTTGTATTTCCGAGACTATTAGTTTGACTATAAGTTTGTTGAAATCGAAGTTCAGATGATCCCATATTTAATTTTTTAAGTTTCCAACTAGATTTTTGCTTCGAGATTCATGCCCGCTCAAGATAATTCTTCGATTACATATCAATAGTAATGCTACAAGTTTTTAGTATGTTAGGCTCATAAAACTTAGTCCTAATTCTTAATTAATAATTAATTGGCTCAACTTTGAATTTGTATTGAGAGTTGAGACCTTACTACTATAAGGGAATTTAAATTGCTTAGATTGGATTACTTTTTCATCCCTTCGACATGAGATTGTAATCATAGGCTTCGTTTGGGACGACTTTCTCACTGCTTCTTAAAATAATTTTTAATACAAAATTAAAATTTTTTTACTAAAAACTTAATTTAAGAAGCAGCAAGAAAGCTGTATCAAACGAAACTTTAGCTTAAGGTTTCGTTTCAGATAATTTTTTTACTACTTTCTAAAATATTTTTTTAGCACAAAAGTTTAATGAACTAGAAATATTTTTACTTGAAAGCTTCTTTAAAAAACAGTTAGGAAGCTGCCCCGAATAAAGCATAAATTTAGGAAGAGTTATACCATGGTATTATTATGAGTATCTATCCAAAGCCTAAGTTTGCAATTAAGAACCTTTATGGCATCATAATTTTTAATTTTGGGAAATCCCCAATGGTGAACCTTTCATACTTGTGGAATAGCAACCCACATTTTATAAAAAAATAAATTTCATCATTTTTAGTATAGATTTAATTGGATTACCATTTAAAAATTATCAAGTCCAATATGAAATTAGGCTCTTTGGACATTCTAAGTCTCTCTCACATGTAGTCATATGCCTATTATTTATTTATCATTGAATTCCTAATTAGATCTTTTCTAAGTTTATCCTCTACCTTTGGTAATTTGAAAATTGTATATTCCTTTGATATATCTATTTCATATATTTTTGATATTTCATATTGATGTATCATAAAAAAATTATCTTGATCGGGCACGAATCTCGACACAAAATCAAGTAGGAAACTTCAAAAATTAAATTCGGGATCACATGAACTCCGATTTCAGCGAAATTGTAGTAAAACTGAGCGTCTCATAAATACGAACTCAACGACACTAAAATCGACTCAATC